CCCCCAAAAAAACCCCTGTTTTAAAAAAGGTTTTTAAAAAAAAAAAAAAAAAAAAAAGCTACCTGATTATCAAACCAGACAATCACAGCCACAGTGGGGTTCAGGTGTACTGCGGAGAAATCATAGTGGGGGTGTAAGGTTTCTATGAAAGTTGGGAAGCACTTGTGCTCCTACTTTGCCTTGCAAACAAACTATGGGCTTGATTAAACGCAGCCGATTTGTTTAAGAGTGACTGGGGGCGGGTTTTAGCAAATCAAATGTAACAGCAGGAGAACCTTCAGACCTGCTACACCCAACACTATTACCTCTAAAAACACTTCTGTTACTTTACAATGTCAGGTGATATAGCAAAATAACTTGTAAAACCCCCTCATTAGTAAGAAATAACAGAGGAAATAGCCTGATGTAATCCCACAGAATATTGTATTGTTATTGTGGTTATTTGTTTCTTGTGTTTGTGAGGAACTGCAGTTAAAAATAAAGGCACTAAATGGATAACTAAGCATTCATTCATGTATCAGAACAGCAGTCATTATGCAATCTGAAGACCTCTGACACCTGTAATGTGACTGGAGCCCCAAACCACAGGTTTCCACACACTTCACACATTTTATTCAATATAACAACAGACATAGAGGGGACTTTCATGTCTATCTGTGTACATTTGAATATTTAATGAAACTTGCTGAACAATGAACACATGGTGGCTAACTCTTTAATCCTGTGGAAATTAAACTGCATGATCAGTTATTATTTGAGCTTGAGCCTAGACAAATATAGTATTATTATCTAACTCATCTTGGTAAAGAATATTAAACATTGGAGAGGCAGAAAGAGAGTGGGAGGTAGTAATGTAAACACAGCAGCAATTCTCAGAGGATATGGTGTGGTGGTAGGAGAAAGGAGGGACCGCAGGCCATTTCACCAGGTTAATGGTATAGGAATCTCTGGCGGCGGGGCTCGTCAGATGGGATTTAGTCTGGGATTCTGCAGAGGACACTGGAGCAGGGAGAGTTTTATCAATATAAACATCTTCTTCCACACAGGATAAAATGGCTTGTGATTTTCTTATTCGTTTGCTATTATTTATTATTTTGTCAGCATATAAGAATGCTGAGTCCTCAGCGAGGTCCCAAACTGTCATTCTAAATGCATGTGGCTTTAATTTGATTGGAAAACGCCACTCGGGGCTAACCAGGTTTTAAGCAGGACATTTAAGTAAAATCTCTGCTCTTATGCAATAATGTGGTTTTATCTATAAATACCATTAACAAAGCCCTCACAGACAACATTTGAATTTTTTCATCCACATATATAACAGTGTATGCCTGTCTGCTGTGTATGCTCAGGGGTTTAAACAAGAGAAGAAGAGAGAGATTATTATACAACTGCAGTTGCCACAAATTACAACACTGCTTGTTTTTCACAACGCACAGCTTTTAATGATGCACTATGGGGACTGTGCTGTAATCCCTTGTCATGTCTTCATGGCTGACGCATACAGTACACATGCACAGTGTTGCTGAGTGAAGATTTAACAGGAAATGTCACTATTGGTGACATTAGTCACAGGTCTGGTGGGAACCGCGGATGGTAGCTCAGTGTTGGAAACGCACATGTTCACTGGGGACCGAATGAGACTCATTACAGTAATTAAAAGCCTTTCCACATATGTTTTCTCATCCTGAGCAATGATCATTACGGGGAATGCATTACCTGTCCCCTTATGGGATCTTATTGTTGGGCACAATCACCTTTGTTTGAGTCATATTATAATGAATGGGCATGTGAGATTTTTTTTTTTTTTTCAAGTTTAGCTGATGTGGTTGCCACAGCAACAACCCCATTTGGCTTGTGAGGTACGGTAGGGATCTCTGCTTTCCTTTCTCTTTCTGAGCGGCAGATTTCAGTTGTCCCCTAAAAGGATGAAGGGGGGAGGGTATCCCACTTTGAAAGAGACGAGGGTGATGATGGTGATGTTGGTGGTTGATTGTAGGTGGGTGCATTTAGAGTTTGGGGTTTCAGACAAGTACCAGGTCATGTGCGTGTGCTTGAAGGCAGACAAAGAGGGTAAAAAAGGGTGGAGATGGAGGAAGTGACCACTAACGTTAGCATATGTGTGTGAGAGTGGGAAGAGCGAGAGTGGGGGAGGAGAATAAGCAGAGGCGAGGATGCTCACTGGGAGTGTGCGACAGTCTAAAGAGATGAGAGTAAAGCCAGGAGGTGAACAACCGGAGCTGGAAAGAGAGAAGCATACATGAAGAAAGGAGCAGAGAGAGAGAGAGCAGATAACAGTGCAAGAGAGGGAGGGAGATGCTTAACCAGGGAAGCGTAGACAGTGAGTCATCTGCCTGAGTGCTGCTGGTCAGTGTCTGGACTTCCCAGGTAGCGCCCAGTGTACAGCTGCCACTGTGTGAGTAAGTTTGAGGCTCTGCTCTACGCAGGACATTGGGTCATTCAGATGACACGTTGTGACTTCTTCACACAGCTGGTTTCTATGGTGCATCACTAACCAGCTGGGGTGTGTTATGTAATTTGTTGTGGTGCTGGGATGAAGCTGTGACTTAGTGCTACAAGCTGATCTGGAGGAGGGCTTTTGTTGTGAAGCTTCACGGAGCAGGCAGGTGTTGCTGGAAAGCAGTAGGTGAGGTGTGCTGCACCAAGGGCTTGTGGTGTTTGTTACCTTCACTCTGGTGTGTGTTTTATTGCTACTTACTATTTGGGAAATAGATGGTTGTGTATATCTGGTCATAAATGTATGCAAGGCTATTCTGCTCTTCCATGGGAGAACTGCCGCCGGAGCTCACTGCCTAGTTGATGTTTACTGAGCCTGCTCCACCAGGGCTTGTATTCAGATTTGTTCCAGGTTCTTTTGAATGATGCAGGACTTGAAAATCCACTTGCTGTGTATTAGCAGACTGGCAGTGTTAACGATTCATGCTTGCTTTTTCCCACCTATTTTTAATTCAGTAAGTACTCTCAGTGAACGTGAAAACAGATTTTTATCTCTGTCACTGTCCCATTTCAGCATCTGTTTATCTACATCCCCAGGACCAGACCAACAGAGCTCCATGCACTGGCTCATACTACTAAACACTGTGTCGGTGTAGACAGCCACACTGTTTACTTGAGAAATCATTAGTATTTCAGTTAAAGAGTTGTGCATTTTGTCTCACTGAGTAATTGATTGCACTGAATAATATTTCTCTACATATGGGTCTTGGTGCCTTTTGGCTGCTGGAGTGCAATGGACCTTATAGATGCAGAGATGTGATTCATATTTCATTGGTGCTGCTGTAGCTGTCTGATCTTCACAGATACGTTTTTCACCTTTCACTGTTGCTGCTTCATGACCATTTCATGTCCATTCCTCCTGTTGTGTGTTTAAAAAAGTGTGAATTAATCAAACAAACTGAAAGCCTGCTGTGCAAGTTGTCAGTGTTGATAGGGCACCATATTCAATAGAGGTATTGATCAGTGATCCTGTGGGGATAAAGTTGCCCTGGTAGAGATATTGAGTCCAGAGCAACTGCTGTGTGACACTTTTATTGCACAGATTTATGTTACTTTCCTGTGTTAGAGAAGATAGATGCTGTGAATAAATACAAAGCTATGGGCATTGTGTCCCTAGGTCCCTGAAGTGCTTGTGAATAGCAGCTTATGTAGCAAAAGAAATAAAGAACCTGCACAGTGGTGTGTGAATTGATATATTCAGGGAGTGCATGTATTTATTTATTGCACAAACAGCAAAGAAAGCATACATTTACTCATCACAAGTGTCACACAGTATTCGATGGCGCTCTCTCTGAGTCAAGCCATAGAGCTCTTGCAGGATGTTTTTCAGTCACTGCAACTTTCACTGTTCATCTTAAAACTGATTAAACAAATTATAGCAAGAGCAAATATATGATCTTCACCCATTCTCGCTCTAAGGCAGTTCATCTCACCATTATTACATTAGAAGATACTTGTATACAAAGAGATACTTCCTACAAAACCCAAGGCTTATGGCTTGATGAACATGTGGCTTTTAATGTGCATATTGTTAAACTATTGTAAACACTTAGGACAAAACGGGGCTTCCTCTTTTTCATTTATACTTGAGTCCAGAAAGCTCTTTTTTATGTTTTGGACCATGGTGATATGATATGATTATCCTTATCCTTATATCATATTGCATTAGGCTTTGTAACAAGTGCAGGCTTTACGAACACACCAGTGCATTTTATTTGAGTATCTAGGATAGTCTTCTCAATACCAAAGAGAAAAATTCATATGTTGCTTTTTAAAGCATTAATAGGTAAACTGCCCTATTATACCTCCAGTGTTTTACTAGCAGCTATAGCACTAGATCTATGAAATGTTCCCAGAATGGACTCTGAGCTTGGTACAATGGCTCTCTCTTTTTATTTACCCTGGGCATGGAATGAGCTGCAAAAACATTTCCTGTGCAAACACTCCCTTCTCTGAATATCTTTAAAGGTCTTTTACAAACTGCCCTGAAGGAAACCAGTTGCTGTTTTGTATAATCCTTAACCTGAGGTGAAATATATTATGGCTAATGTTGGTGTGGCCATCTGTTTTTTTGTTTGTTCCCTCTTGTTATTGTACTATATGTGTTTTAGCTTGTAGATTCTTATTCTTATGTATTTTTTTTTATGTGAAACAGTTTGTGCTGCCATCCTGACCAGGATTCCCTGGAAGAATCCCAATGAGACTTTCCTGATTAAATATAAAAATACATTTTAAAATTAAAAAACAAATACATTAATAAATGAATACATTTTGCAGTGAGTATCTTCCTCCTCAGTTATGACAGTAACATATTAGACTTAAAATGAATGAACTTTGGGGTGAGGAAAGCATCTAGGAAACAAACATCCTCATCACTAGAGTACTGCTCAGTAACATGGGAAATCAAGATACTTAAACTATGTAATAACTAGAAACCCTCACTTTCTGGGCTTCACACCACTGCAGTGCCTCAGATCACCTGTCTATGCAAATCCACTCTGTTGCTGAATGAGACCAATAACATTTCCCCAGGTCCTTTTGCTTGATCTCAGACTGAGTGACCTTTTCTGACTGAATATTCGCTTGCATTTGTGATTGCAGGAAACAAGATGGGAGCGACCCTCAAATAGCTCCAACACTAGAGCCCCAGCTGTTCCAGCCTACACTCCCATACACCACCTCATCATTCCACAAGGTAGGGGGAGAACGTGGGGGTTTAGGTTTACATTTTGACCCCTGACCTTTTTTCTGTGACCTTTATTAGCTGTCTCTGCTCATCGTGTGCCTGTACCTGCTTCTGTCAGGATGCATTTTTCTGGGGTTCTGTCTATATCTAAGCTCCCATGACTGTGTTAGACCCAAACTGTCTCCTTGCAGTGATACTGTGATTTTTTTTCTTGTCATCTTTTGTTAAACTTGTGTAGTTGGAGAACAGTCTTTGCTTCAATTAATACAGATCTACTGTGTTTGTAGCAGGAAACTGTCAGTTTGATGCCGACGGTTTCTCAACCCAGACAAACGAGTTTGACTCAATCAAAGCAAACAAAATGCAGCTTGACTGAGCAGTTGTCATTTTTAAATAAAAGACAAACCTCCTCGCTCCGACTGTCATTTGGGATGTGTCACCAAAATGGAAAATCGGTGACGTATAATCATTGGTGTGTGGGTATCAGTTATTATCCAGCTTTGTGATGCCATCTTAAACAATGAGCCACTTTCTGCAGCCTTTTAAAAAGGGTAAGTTAAAATGTGCAGATTTCTGCTTTTTCAAGCATATGTTGTTGTTTTTTATATATATGTCTATATTTTTTCTGCCTTTCTGTAGTCAGTGCAGGGATGATGTTATTTAATGCCTCCAGTTCACTAAAGGTTTTCAACAATTTCTCAAGATTGTAAGCATTTATGAATGAGCTTCAATTATTCAGTTTTTCTTCCTGTTAGAGCAAATCAAATGAGCAAAGACTTGTAGACATATAATATAAAGGACAAAAATGATTTGGGAGCAGTCACTTAAGTAAATCTGTTTAGAGCATCACAGTATTTTTCACTTCCATCTTTCTGTCAGAATCTTCTCAGCTACCTTTGGCACATCCTAGCTTCATGACAGAGTGACAGCTGACATGGAATAACTTGCCAGGGATATTCTGAGAACTTAGAAACTGAGTAGAGCTGGTTGATTAAATGAAGGATACAATCTCACTCACGCCACAGTGGTTTTATAAGGTCTTTCACACTGGTCCCAGTCTGAGAGTACAGGGAGTGGGGAGAGAGGGGGATTAAAGGAAAGTTTGGAGATTGGCTTGTTTAACAGTCACTCCTGATCCTTGCAGCACACACGATCTGTAGGTGCCTCAGGCTTATACAGTAAGTTACAGTGAGTCAGACATAAGGAGAAGATTTATGACACTTCTCTGTGTCTACAGATTTGCATGACATGCAAGTCAAATAAAGCCAGGAAAGGTATAGTTCAAGGTATTCTTCACTTGGCTTCAAGTATTTTGTGAGTATCCTAAACTGCTAATTTTTTAATTAGACGGAAGAAAACACTTCCCTACA